TGAACTGCCTAAATAAATATCGTGTGTGAATGAACTAACTTACGACGAACTACCGTATTGACGTGACCTTACAAACACGATTATTATTTTGAGTGCCACATTCAAATTACATGAAGGTTGTCCACTGTACGTATATTGCACCCACAACACACGATTTAGAGATTAGTCAGTTTTTATTAGTGGCTCGTTTCTGATGATGTTAATGCCTTTTGGCTTCTATAGCTTCATAGTACTCAGGCCATTCAGGCCGCGGGCCCTGTAAAAATAGAATTTAAATCATTGCGCATAGTTACTTGCGTAACGATGTCTACTGTGACAATCTGTTAAGATATCAGGCTTAAAACATCCTAAAACTTTAATCCAGGCTTTTGATCGTAAATTCTTCAGAAGCCCTGGGATTAAGTAAAAATAAAGCAAGATATCAGTGTCCAGTTAGGGCAAGAGCCTTAACAGGACACTGTTGTCTTAAAAAGCACATGTCCATCCTGGGACTAAGCAACTCAAGAAGGTACCGGTTCTGTTCCATAACGAAAGAAACGCCTCTACACATCCTAACTAATTGCCGACCCTTAATTCGCAAACGTAACACTCATCTGGGAAACTATGTACTCCGCCCAGAAGAAATGAAATTGCACACGGCTAATCAGCTCCTTCTATTCATTGAAGATATAGGGCTTAGCCGTGAACTATAGCCATAGCAGCGATCACAATAGATCTTTTAGGTCACAGTGATACTGGTCTCTTTCTCTAGACCTGCATAGCTGCTCGCACATAATAAAAAAATATAGCTAAAATAGCTCGACATACGCTCTCTTAGTTCTTGTTTATAGATATTCTTTACTTATATAAGACGAAGAATTTGTAGTATGATTAACAATAAAGAGAGTTTTTCCTATGATTTGGCAGTAAGCATATAGTGATAGTTCCACAGCAACAGTTACAGAAACAGCACAGATGTAACAGGGAAACGTGGCACGGCTTATGGATAGTTTCTATCGAAAGCGGTTGCTAGATTATAGGCTGTTATTTTGAAACAGGTTACTGGAACTGTTATTTCAAAGGAAAAGGATAACTCACTTCTATGAGATACTTGACAGCTGTAGTAAGAACCTGGTTTTTGCCTCGTTATGTTATACTTACGGACACATTAAAATTGCAGTCTCACACTACAGTGAATAACTTGCAACACGTAACACTTAAACAAGCCTTGCAGTCGAATCTTACAACATTAATGAAACAAAAAATGGGTGACTAACATTTTTAAGTTCAACCAACAAAGCCTTCGCTTGCATGAAGGATGCATTCGTAAATAATACAACCATTTTTTTTAAATTTGTTCTTATAACGACTCACCGTTGAAGTGTACAGAAACTACAAATCAAGCAAATTGCTTATTTCAAGATTTCTCAAAATAAATAATAATTCAGAAAGTTTTATTGAGATATTTTTTTTTTCAAATCAATAAAGTAGATGATGCACACGACCACATTATTAAATTAGGCTATAGAAAGGAGAATTTTTTTATATGATAAGGGTGATAAACGAGTAAACAATCAACCTGATATACAGTTGCTGTGACCCATAGACATCTACATATATCCTCGATTACGAATCAAAATACAGATACGATGTCAATTAAGTCCTTAAGACTTAGATGGAGTGCCTCGTTTCCAGTAAAAGGGGTCTCCGGTTCTTTATACTCACCTTACAAAACACAACAACGTTAAGCTGCTATTTTACGCTGGTATTTTGTGAGAGCTTGGTACTTACCCGGTCGAGCCGATTCATTGTTGTTTCAACTATACTACTAATATATTAGCTGCAGGATGTATTTACCACGTATATTATTCTAAATTTTTATAATTAATGTAAAATACGTGATGGAGCCATGCTACAGTTATATCTTGGTTGTAGCACGGATGGGCCGCCTCGACCGGGTAAGAAGAATACTAGCATAAAATAGCTTCATACTGCTTTGTTTTGTATGGTGAATGAAGAGACCGAAGACCATTTTTACTGGAAACAATAAAATCCACGCTGGTCTTCAGGGGTGACAACACATCTGCAGTTTGAATCTGAATCGAGGATAAATATAGAGATAAATAATAGTCTATAGGTCACAGCGTCCACTAACCACAGTAGTAGACAATGTGCACGTTTGTCACAATTTTTTAATAAAAAATTAAAAACAAAAATAAAATATAACCTCTTCAAAATATTATGCCATCAAAAACATAACTTGTAAAAAAAACAAGTCTCGCAACGTTCTTCTATCGTAAAAATTGTGAGATACGAGTACATGTAATACCAACTTGGTTAATTTATTCAATCCCTACTTAAGGGTCCTTCTGTCTTAAGTAATTACGCAATTAGCTAACCTAACAACATCTTATTGTGACCATATCAATATTAAAAATCTTTTAAGTTTTAGGTAAATAGATTGACTAGGGCCATCGCATGAAAATACAATGTATCTCATAAGTAAAACATATTAAATTAGATTGTTTAGTGCGATTGCCAAGTCAAACTATTTATATAAAACATAAAAGATTTCTAATATTGATATGGTCACGATAAGATGTTGTTAGGTTAGCTAATTACGTAATAACTTGAGACAGAAGAACCCTTAAGTAGGGACTAAATAAATTAACCGACTTGGTATTTAATACATGGATCTCACAACTTTTTACGGTAGAAGAACGTTGCGAGTCTTGGTTTTCTTTATAAGTTATGTTTTTAATGGCATCTCATTTTTTTTTTGTAAATAGTCCTACTTTTTTCCTTTGCGGAAACTTCTACTTCTTGAATACCAACAACGTACCTATCTACACCTATTATTCCATTATATTATACATTTATACAGGTACACTGATTCATTCACTGCAAATGTAACTTTGTAATCCTATATATTTATATAGGATTACAAAATTATTTATGCAGTTGATGTATCTAGAAAACTGGAGCGAAATTGCAAAATATTTTAGTTTTTCATTGATTTATACACTTAGCACTAATAGTATTCTAAATTTGAAGCTTCTATATATACTATAAGTGCCTTAGAGTTTTGATGATCGGTCAGTCGGTCAGTCAGTGAGTGACAAAATTAAGAAATTTGGACTAGTTATAATTCTTAAACTACAGAAATATACCGCGTTTATACAATGCCTGCTTGGTAACTCAAAATTCAGGCTTCTAGTTTTATCCACAAGGAAGTTATAGTGGGTCGAAAATGGCCCGAACTGCTTCTAGAAAAGGATGATACGGCCGTGCCGCTTTTTCGCTCGACTTGGCGGGGGCACTGCCGCGCCCCCAGATACTAGATTTATTGGTAATCCTAGAGAATAAGTTCTACCGGATGATCATAATATGTGCAGATAGCAGTGTATTTATGTTACATTCAGAACTGTTTACCTACCTAACCTGTTTTGACCTAAACAGGTTACAACTTACAACTGCAGTCAAAAATACTTTGTTACTACGACTACGATTTTACGACAAACAAGTTTTTCCTAAGCCTGTTAGGATGAACTAGATATACGCGGCTTAAAAAGTAAAATCATGTGCAATAATTTTGGAGGTCACCTAAACCTACTCGACGTTTACGTAATAGTATTCTCTAGTATAATTTTATAGCATACTTTATAAACACAAAATATAGTTGCACCTAACCATCACTGCTTGCACGGCCTGACTACTACATGTGACTTTCACAGAAAATGTGGACACCCAAAAATATCTTTATCTTGTTATAGATAATAAATATAACTGGAACTATCTTAAAGAATACGTGTGTAATAAGCTAAGACAATTTTTAGCGAATATTATAGTTCTTAATAACCGCATGCACTTCTAAGTTAAGTTAATGGTTCATAACTAATTAGCTGAATGTTTTATACAATACAGGCTCATTGAATAAAACTATTATTTACAAATTTTATCGCGTTTATTTACAACGTTGTAATTATATATCAAAAATAAATAAAATCCGTAAATAATATTTTTATTCTATGTGTAGTGTTCGCGTAAATTTAAGAAATCACAATACAGGCTCATTAGTTATAGGCGCACGTATCAAACACATCTTAATCAAATATATAGGCTACAACCAAAAACTCTTAAACACATAGTATCTCCAAACATTAACGAAATATTTCGAAACGATTACGTTAAATTGTTTAAACATTGTAAAATTTACCCATTTATACACAATTTAAACATAGCTTACTAAAGGAAAATTCTTTAATGAAACACTTACAGAAAAATTAAATATTCTGTATACACGGGAGCAAACGCACAACATTGTTTTTTTTACTATTCGTGCTAATAACATCCACGACAAACAATCAGATACTTATTTAGTTCCCCGATTAATAAACAACTTCCACTACTATTTACGAAATAATATTGCATGAGAAAATGTTAATACAAAATTAAAATCTTACTTCTTACATAACACTTCTCACTCACTAAATCTTGACACTTAAAAATTAACTTACCAAGCATCTAGTTATTTAATTACCTAAGTTATCAAAATTATAAATTTAGCCCAATTTCTAAACTATCTGCAACACAATGTAATATTACGTATATTCCATTTTTCTTTATCAAACCTGGAAATTTCGATGTAGATGATAGCATTATTAACAAACCTTTGTGGTTTATACATGCTATTGTACTTATGTTTTTGTATTCAACTTTAAAATGATAAATAAATTTATAAAAATATGATTGAAAAGTATTTAACAATATTAGAGAGCTTACTTACGTATAGGCATATTACACTTTAAATTAACGCTACCTCCCACATTTCCTCATAACGAATGAATTCCCAAGTTTTAAAGCCGAATGTTACAGAAATAAAAGGCGTCTCCTGCTTCAGATTTCCTCTGTCACCTCTTTACAGTATCAAGCATGTACTAAGCCAATACCTAAGCACCACTAAATATATCACTGAATATTAACAATGACTTTCCTTTATGATATTTTTTATTTTATTTCAGAACTTCTCTGAACACCATGTTAGACACTACAACCATTCAAAACTTTTTTACGGAGTGTGCCTTACAAAAACATGTGCGGAACATTACTATAATGGAGATAAAAAACGGGACTTATGGGTAGCCCTTGAGGGATGCCTAAACAATACATTTTGGAAAAAATATAAGTTAAAAACAAAACTATTGGAAGTCGTGGACTACAATAATTTAGATAGTAAATTAAATATAGGATATGGAGACTATGCAATAGCTATTATTTGTTTCGCTCTGTTGATGATGAATCTTATTGGGAGTGTTTATGATATCTTCTATATACAACAGCGAGAAAGAAAAGGTAACTATTTTGGGTCAATCATTTCTAGCTTCGCGATCTTAATAAGTATATATATATATATTAGGTCTTTACCTAAAAAAATGTTAATTTATTAATTTTGTTACTTCTAAAGCAAAAAAAGTATGAAATAGTCTAGTTACAAAATATTTCTTTTTTCCAGCGATGTGTATTGTTCGGTGTGTAATGTATATCTACAACAATAAAATGAAATATAATAAATGTGATACATGTGATATATGTATATATATCGAAAATCCAATATTTTAAATAATATCAACAGTTTTAGTTTGAACTGATCAGATGGAATGGTCAGTTGAACTGACCGTGTGTGGCGACCGTTAGACTTTTGCCATAGTTTCCACGCTTGGTAAGCGGTTTAGAAACCGCAGTTTAATTTTTTATTTTTAGCTGTTATTAAGAATACTCTTCTATCTCTTGGTATTTCCCCTCTGTTGCCTCTTACGAACCGGGATAGTGGGTTTTATTACACCGTCACTACACAGTGATTTTTTAATTAATATAGCGTAATTTTGTTAAGAGTTAGCGATATGGTTCGCTTTCAGTTTTTTTATAGATTAAGGGTAACAAACGAGCACATTGTCCACCTGAAGGTAAGTGAATGCTGCCTAGATCTACATCTATTACATATCAATAAGTGGATTTCATAGATTAAATTGTTGTGTCAAAGTTTTTCGTAGTTATTCATTAAGATTTCTTATATTTACGCGAATACTTAATAAATGAATAATACACATGAATAAGTAAACACTATGAATGAATATGTTTACTTGTTTATATCCAGACGAGCTACCCGCCCTGGCTTCGTACAGATGATTTATAGATCTCGATAACATAAAATGTGAATCTGAACAATCTGGGAACCGGCTCAAATACACACAAAAAATGTCATCAAAATAGGTCGAGCCGTTTTTGAATTTAAGCGAAACTAACGGACGGCAATTGCTTTTATATAAAGAGATGTATATATTTGCTGAGTGTCTGCGCCCTCCTTTCTGCCAAGGAGGGTCGCGTCCGTATACGGCTTGGAGATCTCTCGTCAGATCGGTAAGCCAATCCACAAAGGCGGTGTTTAGTGGGTAAAAGTCTCCACATAACCACGCAGCCGGCTGCGTGGTATGCTATGAGCATTCACCCTCCCCCGCTTTCCGGAGGGTTGCCAGTATTTGCTTCGGGCGCAAAAAAAATTGCTGGGTGCTTTACTTATTTTGATTATTCCTGGATGGTTAAACTCTTTTTTTATGCATTACCGATTAAAAAATATGTGTGCAGTTCACACGCGGTAGAGGTGAAACCTTCTGAAAAGGAGAATAATATAATAGGACACTGTATACGGTATTCTATCTCATTTTCCCACAGGCTATATTCTATAGTTATAAATATGTTTGTCTCTTTTGAGTGTCGCTTTTTCGTTTTATTAAGTCTCAAATCACGACAATTCTAAAGATGATTTCACATCAAAAATATTTTTATTTAAATTCCCCTTTTAAATTAATGTGACAATTTGTTAATTACGTTCCATAGTGAAATCATCATCATCATCATCATTACAGCCCTTCACAAGTCCACTGCTGAACATAGGCCTCCCCCAAGTAATGCCACAAAGCACGGTCCTGAGCCACCTGCATCCATCGACTTCCTGCATGTCTTACCAGGTCGTCACTCCATCTAGTGGGGGGTCGCCCTACACTACGCCTACCGGTACGAGGCTGCCACTCGAGAACCTTTCTTCCCCATCGGTTATCGGTTCTTCGAGCTATATGGCCGGCCCATTGCCACTTCAGCTTACTAATCCGTTGGGCTATGTCGGTCACTCTGGTTTTACTGCGGATATCCTCATTTCTGAGTCTATCACGCAGAGAAACTCCGAGCATAGCCCTCTCCATAGCTCGCTGAGCGACCTTAAGCGTCCTCATACGGCCAGCAGTGAAGGACCACGTCTCAGATCCGTAAGTCATCACTGGCAACACGCACTGGTTGTACAATCTAGTTTTTAGAGATTGAGGTATACCTGACGAAAAGATATGCCGTAATTTCCCGAACGCTGCCCAGCCGAGTTGAATCCGTCGATTGACCTCTCGGTCGAAGTTGGACTTACCTAGTCGGACTATTTGTCCCAGGTAAACGTATTCGTCAACAACTTCGAGCATAGTGCTCCCAACAACTACCGGCATAGGTGTGACATGGACATTGAACATGATCTTTGTTTTGTCCATGTTCATCTTAAGACCTATCCGTTGGGAGGCACTATTGAGGTCATTGAGCATAGTGCTTAAGTCCTCCAGCGATTCTGCCATAAGGACTATATCGTCGGCAAATCGAAGGTGAGTGATGTACTCGCCATTGATGTCAATACCGTATCCTTTCCAGTCCAGTAGCTTGAAAACGTCTTCCAATGCAGCGGTGAAGAGTTTCGGGGATATAACGTCACCCTGTCTTACACCTCTCTGCAGTTGGATAGGTTTCGAGCTCTGGTTCTGTACTCGGATAGCCATCGTAGCCCTACTGTACAAACACTTCAGCACTTCGATATACCGACAGTCAACTTGGCACCGCTGAAGGGACTGTAGCACCGCCCAAATTTCGACGGAATCAAAGGCTTTCTCATAGTCCACATACGCCAGGCAAAGTGGCAGATTGTACTCTTCAGTCTTCTGTACAATCTGCCGCAGGGTATGTATGTGGTCTATGGTACTGAAGCCTTTTCGGAAACCGGCTTGTTCGGGAGGCTGGAAGTCGTCAAGTCTGCGTGCGAGACGATTCGTAATGACTCTCGAAAACAGCACGTAGACGCGGCTCAGAAGGGAAATCGGTCTGTAGTTCTTTAAGAGAGCGTTGTCGCCTTTCTTAAAGAACAAGACCACCGCACTTCTGCTCCACGCCTCTGGAGTAGTGCCACCATGGAGGACGGAATTGAAGAGCTTCCGAAGGACTTCAAGTACCGGTGTTCCACCCGCTTTCAGAAGCTCCGCTGTAATTCCATCCTCGCCTGGGGCCCTGCCGTTTTTAAGGTGCTGGAGAGCCATTCTAATCTCGCTTAGACTGACGTCCGGGATATCATCGGAATAGTGTCGGATAAGACTTGCTCTTGGATCGTTACTCACACTTGCGTGTGGCTCCAACGATGATGTGTACAGCTGCCCATAGAACCTCTCAATCTCACTCAAAATCTCAGGTGTCCCGGAAACGATGTTGCCACACTCAGTCTTCAGCCTTGACAGTTGGCTCTTTCTGGCAGACAGATCTCTGGCAAAGACTTTGGAGCCCTGGTTCCGCTCGATCGCTTCTTTAATACGAGAAGTATTAAAGTTGCGTAAGTCTCGCCGTATGCATTTGGAGATCTGTCTGTTCAGTTGCCTGTATGCTGTCAAATCTGTTGACGATTGCAGCCTCATCTCCCGTCTAACAGCCATGAGATTAAGAGTGTGATCGGAGAGTTTTTGTGTTCTTCTGCGGCGGGTCTTACAGAACTTAGCTCCGACCGCATGGACAGTTTCCACGAGCTTGTCGTTCATATCGTCCACTGCATTGCAATCTTCTAGGCACTGGAAGCGGTTACGTAACTCGAGCTGAAAGGTTTCGGGATTCTGGATTAGAGCACGAGGGGGGACGGAGCGTTGACTTCATTAGACGAGACCTCTCCAACTTAACGTTTAGGTTCAGTGTGCCTCTAACCATTCGGTGATCGCTGCCAGTTTTCACCCTTGCGATCACTGAGACATCACTGAACAGTTGGCGTCTGGTCGTCATAATGAAGTCAATCTCATTTTTTGTCGAACCGTCGGGGCTCGACCAGGTCCACTTCCTGTGGGGCCGCTTCTGGAAGAAAGAGTTCATCATAAAGAGTCCCTCTTTCTCCATAAAGTCGGCCAGCTGCTGGCCCCTTCGGTTCCGTTGCCCTACTCCAAATTTCCCTACCTTCAGCTCACCGCTTTCTCTTGTGCCCAGTTTTGCGTTGAAGTCTCCCATCAACACCGTGTAGTAGGTTCTGGAGGAATGTATGGCTCTGGAAATATCCTCATACATTTCCTCCACCTCCTCATCGGGATGTGCCGAGGTTGGTGCGTAAACCTGAATGACCTTCAGCGAATACCGTTTGGTGATTCTGAGTATCAGGTACGCGACCCTCGTCGACACACTCCCAATCTTTACAACGTTGTTGACGAGAGATTTGTGGACGATAAATCCGACACCTCCTTGGGACAGATGGTCGCCCTCCCGGTGATAGAACAAGTTGCCGGACTCGAGGATTGCCGTGTCCTCCCCCTCTCTTCGGACCTCGGATAATCCAATAATATGCCAGCGCAACTTGTCTACCTCTTCTTCCAGCTCCAGTATCTTCTCGTCAGTCCTCAGGGTGCGTGCGTTATATGTTGCCAGGTCGAGTCGTCGTAGGTGGCAACCGAACCTCCACCGGAGATTCTTAGCACCCCCTGCCCCGCCGTTACCATGGTCGCCACCGTAGCCAGGAATAGCGGGGCCGCCGGGGACTGGGGGCCGTCTGTTTGTGTATTTGTTCATTGGGGGGTATTTGCCATAGTTGCCACGCTTGGCGAGCGGGTTGGCAACCGCAGTTTTTTATTACGTCACAGTTGTCATCAGGAAGACGCTGCTGCCCATCTCCTGCCTGTCTCCCTCTGTCGCCTCTTACGACACCCACGGGAAGATATGGGGTAGTGGATATTCTTAACCGCCACTACACGGCAATATATATATAGTGAAAGCTATAACTTTATACTTATTATTTGTATTTGAAAATTTTCAGGCAACAAGGTTCTTCTAGCTTTCTCTATCAAGCGAAATTGGGAAAAATTGATCGCCCGCGATTCTGATAACCCTAGTTATGAGCGCTTAAAAGTATTACATGGTGTCAGGTGAGTTTTTATATTACAAGAGCTGACAAGCATGTCAGCAGTACAATGCTGTAAACCGTACAGTATTTACTTTTCCAATTCTACGTGCGTCTACTAACTGTGGCGATTATGTTAAGTTCACCATACTCTCAGAGAGACCGAAGTCCGGCTGTGGACTAGGTTGCAAATTACAGTAATGAAGTGACGGAGTCTTGGGTTACTTTCGCTCTATAATGAACGTAAATTAAGTTATAGTGACTGACTTTTTACCGTTGGGAAATACTAATCATGTTTAGTACATGAATGAAATAGAAGCACCTATTAATGACATTCTAGCGAGCCGCTTGGCTTCACCCGGGTAGGATCCTATTAATGTGGCATTATTAAATATTTAAGTTAATCGTCAATAATCATTTAATTTATCTATTTTTCACTTTCTCAGAATATTTTGAAAAAAAAATCCTTGTTTACTTCTTGCATTTCTCTCAATGTGTTCGTCAAGTTTCATCACAATAAGTTTAGCCATTCATAAGATTTGCCCAAACAGATATAATATGATTTGAATTGATTTGAATTGCTTTATTTATTTATGTCTAGCGTGCGAAATTTTGTTCGTGCGTGTATATGTACGCGCGTGCATGCGTGCGTGCGGTGTTCGTGAGTGTGTCGCGCGCACGTGTGTGTGTGTGTGTGTGTGTGTGTGTGTGTGTGTGTGTGTATGTGTGTGTGGTGGGTTTGTATTGGACTCAACAAACAAAGGAGCAAAACTATCGCAATATTGATAATTAATACAACTTATCATCACATTTTCTTTAAACTCGTAAAGACAGATGAAACCTCCAAGCCGAGAAGTCGACAGATGAATGCTAAAGCAGTGGGTGGACTTCTGACTGTCAACATAGATGTTAAAAAGAAGCCCTACCACTTTTAATTTTAACTTAAATAATTTTTAAAAAAGTTTTGTGTTTCATATCTCGGTCCTTGTACTCCTTTTCTGGTTAGGAGTCCAGGGCTGCGGCTGCGTCGGGGGTCTTATCTATTTCTGCCACTAAATATTAGTGCTTGAATCCTTGTGTTCAAGTTTGAAGGGTATAGAGAGCCAGTATGATTACAGGTTGTAAGGCATTCCATCTTAATCCTCGCAGTCAACAGATGCGCTGTCTCTTAGCACGAATCTGTGGCCTTTTTTTGTTTGAAATTGATTGTAAGTGTCCATAGGCTACAGTAGCCACTTATTATCAGGTGGACTACGAGTTTAAATAATTTATTAAAAAAACATACAAAATAATAGGTTTATTAGGAAACAAAAGGTACGAGGCATAGACTAAGAACTAATTTCTTATTGAAATTCGTTTCAGGACTATAATAACGGCTTTGGTCATAACTGCACACTCTATGATGCCATTTACCAACATTCCCAAAAACACACGTGATCTTGAAGCGGTACGTAGTTTTGCATATTCCCTTAGTTTAAATGTCCTAACCCAAAATATATACATGTTTTTATATATTCTTATCCCATTAATTTCCTTATTTCCCATCTTTAACTTAAGAAGAATGGAACGCAAGGATCTCACGATGGTAACACTGTGCCAGTGCTACGCAAGGCACAAATTAAAAATAAGTAAACTCATGCGAAGCGTATGGCATACCCGCTCTTGATAAATAAATAATAAGAAATAATAATCAGGCTTTAAACTCAAAAAAATGCTCTAATTAGTAGTGCCGAATTGTGTTAAAAGTGTGTATTAAAGTAGAAAACCCACCTGCATCGAGCAATAAGAAAACTCCACCGTAACTTCATATTCTATGTCCATCATAACCAAGAATTATCTTGGGAAACAACTTTAAATATGTACCAATACCGGTTTCAGATCTACGACATTCTGCCGTACCACACCTTCATAAACGGCACACCAATTGTTCAGGTTTTCTTCCTAATGGCTGGTTTCTTGCTGGCCTTCAATGTACAGATGAAATCTGAGAAGATGAAATTTACCTGGGTCATGATACCAATTGAAATTTGCAGGAGATGGTTGAGGTATGTTATCAGTGTTTGAATTTAGATCAAAAATTGAAATTAGAACGGAATAATACAATTAACATAAAAATTGGTCAATTGCATGATATGAAAAAATAAATAAAAACAAAAATGTTGTGTGATAGTAATTAGAATAATTTTTCTTGAAATTAAATTTAATCATCCTGATTGACATCTTCTATAGAACTGCGCATAAGTCCACTGCCGAACAAGGCTTATGTTCAGCGGTTTGTTTGCTGTCATTATTTTTAATAGAATAAGGGTGATAAAGGAGCACACAGTCCACCTGATGGTAAGTAGATGCTGCGGCCCATAGACATCTACATTTATCCTCCATTAATTATCAAATGGCAGATGCGTTGTCACCACTCAGGAATAAGATAGAATGCCTCATTTCCAGTGAAAGAGATCTCCGGTATCCTACACTCACACTATACGAAATACGGCGGTATTAAGCTGTAATTTTACGCTGATATTCTTTGGTATTTTAATCGGTGTATATAGCAGCATGGTTGTACCACGTACAAAGTGTTGAATCCTGTACGTTTGAGAGATTATAAACATTTCGTCAAAAAGTCTCTCAGAACTTAGAGGAGTTCGTTGCTGAAGTCGTGTATAGGTTCCTTTTTTAAAGGTATTTGCTACTGTTTGAATAATTTTAAAAAGCTAACTATTTCTTTTTCTCAATTACAGACTAACCCCTGTATACGCGGTTGTGTTGGCTATCACATCTACTTGGTTGCGTTTCGTCGGATCCGGTCCGTTGTGGAATGTAAGAACTATGATATTTTATTATTCTCTATGCTCATCGTCATCATTATCACTATAGCCTAATAAAGACCACTTTGGAACATAATCCTTCCAATAGATTGCCTCATCAGGCGGATACTTGCCATAGTTGCCACGCTTGGTAAGCGGATTGGCAACCCCGGTTTTTTATTTTACATAGTTATGTTTCTAGGAAAACGCTGCTGCCCATCTTCTGGTTTATTTCCTTTTGTCGCCTTTCGCGTCATCCGCGGGTTGAGTTTTTAGGATAGGCAAACTCCAAGAAGGCAAGAATCGCAGTATCAAGGTGTGCTTCGAATCAATAGAACCTGCCAAAAAACTACTCCGCAACAGAAATAAGCTACAAGATGGCCATAAAATGTTCTCAGACCAAACACCAACTCAACAAAACTTTATGAGAAAATTAAGAGAAAAGCTAAAGCGACGACAAGATAATGGTGAGACTAACCTTACAATTAAATATGTTAATGGAACGCCGTCAATCATAAAAATATCAAAAAACTCCACACAGTAAACACAGAAATCAACAGTCCCATCAAAAACAATACTTATGAAATATTAAACAGTTACCAAAATTTTACGATCAACAAGTCACGCTTTACCTTTCTCTACTTCAACGCTCGAAGTATACGTAAAGTGGGAAAACTTGATGAACTCAAGTATGTATTACAAGCAATACCAAATAATGTGTACGTCATACTGGTAACTGAAACTTGGATTCGCAATATGGAACAAGCATTACAACTTTAACTACCGAATTAATTTCAATATAATAGCTACAGAACAGTTAGAATTGATAGTGCAGGAGGGGTATCTGCTTATGTCCATAATAACCTAAGCACAGTTTATCAGAGTCAATATATGTAGGAGGCAATAACTATCTGTGGATAAAACTAGAAAAATATGTACTCGAAGTAGGAGTGGTATATAATCCTGCATACACTAATTTCAAACAATTTCTCGAGGTATACGAATCACAATTACAAGAAAGAAGCAGATCAATAGTTTTCGGTGACTTGAACGTTGATTTACTCAAAAAAAAATTCAGAGACCAAAATATACAATCTTCTGCTAACACAGACTGGATACAAGATCATAAATAAAATCATAAAAAAATATTACACCAGACAAGGATGTACAAAAAAAATCTATCCTAGATTATGTAAGCACCAACTTAAAGGAAGAAAACCTTCATATGGTATATGTCAACTCATCTTTTTCTGATCATAGACTAGAGCTTAATGTGGAAATCAGGAAAACAAAACCGCCCCCCGAGAAGATATCATCAATTCGAAGCCATGAATTATATAGCACTTCGTAAATCAATGGAGAAAACAGGAATATAAGAATCCAACGATGACTTTACAGGACTGGAAAAACTAATAAAAAAATGTACGGAAGAAAGCCAAGTAATAAAGACCAAAATTATGAATGAACCACAAAAAGAGTGGATAAACAAAAGTATTATAACAGAGATTAATGAAAGAAACCTGATGTGGACAGAACTACAGAAGAACCCAGAAAGAGAAGACCTGAGAGTAAAGTTTATTTGGTGATCCAGAAGACATAAAATAACCAAGTTGATTCAGGAAACAAAGAAGTCATATTATAAGAAGGAAATGAAAAATAAGAATGGAAAGTTCAAAAATCTATAGAATTTACTCAATACCCTTACAAACAACAAATTAAAACAAAGGTCCTTCCAAACTTATTGTTAATTCAATAGAATTCAATAGAAGAAGAATTACAGATCCTCACGAGATATGCAATATATTTAACAACTTTTTTACTACTAAGGGGCCTTATTTAGATGACGAAATACCTATTCAATTCCATGTTAATCATACTCACGCACTACCAAAACCACTTTTACAAAATTTGCAAATGAATAGTTTAGACCCATGCACTGAAGAAGAAATCCTTAATATTATTAAAACTTGATTCAAAGAGTAGTGTTGGTCTAGGTGATTTAGTACAAAGGTTACCAAGTGTAATAAGGACTTAATAATAAATACATTAACGAAAACCTTTAACAAACTTTTACAAAACGGATCATTTCCTGACTCATTTAAAATAGTCATAGTAACACCTATTTACAAATCGGGACTAAAAATAGAACCAGGCAACTATCGACCAATTTCCATACTGCTACTATTATCAAAAATTCTCGAAAGAGTCTTATATATACGGCTACAAAACTACTTAGACTCTATAATTTCTTTTTTGAGAGACAGTACGGATTTCGTTTTAAAAGTCACTCACAGCTATAATTGATCACTTAACTAAAATCAAACATAACATTGATAAGAAAAACAACGTACTAGGAGTATTTATTGATTTAATAAAGGCGTTTGACATCATAAGTCATAAATTGCTCTTAAAAAAACTGGAAGTCATTGGTATTACTGGCATGGCCTCAAAATTATTTGAGTCTTACCTCACGAATAGATCCCAGATCGTAAAATAGACAGTAGCACCCAAAGTCCCCCACAACCCATAACCTATGGAGTTCCACAAGATTCACTATTGGGTCATGTGCTCTTTTTAGTCTATATTAATATTATGCATGAGTTGGGCTTGAATGGCAATATCACACTTTACGCCGATGATACTTGACTTTTTTACTTTGGTTCTTTAATTCATGATCTTGTATCTCAGCCTCGAAGCACGGTCCTGAGCCACCTGCATCCATCGATTTCCTGCAGGTCTTACCACGTCGTTACTCCATTTAGTAGGGGGTCGCCCTACACTACGCCTACCGGTACCAGGCTGCCACTCGAGAACCTTTCTTCCCCATCGGTTATCGGTTCTTCGACCTATATGGCCGGCCCATTGCCACTTCAGCTTACTAATCCATTGGGTTATGTCGGTCACTCTGGTTTTACTGCGGATATCCTCGTTTCTGAGTCTATCACGCCGAGAAATTCCGAGCATAGCCCTCTTCATAGCTCGCTGAGCGACCTTGAGCTTCCTCATATGGCCAGCAGTGAAGAACCACGTCACAGATCCGTAAGTTATCACTGGCAACACGCACTGGTTGTACAGTCTAGTTTTCAGGTTTTGAAGTATAGCTGACGAGAAGATGTGTCGTAATTTCCCGAATGCTGCCCCGCCGAGTTGAATCCATCTATTGACCTCGGTCAAAGTTGGACTTACCTCGTCGGACTATTTGTCCCAGGTAAACGTACTCGTTAACAACTTCGAGCATAGTGCTCCCAAAAACTACCGGCATAGGTGTGACATGGACATTGAATATGATGTTTGTTTTGTTCATGTTCATCTTAAGACCTATCCGTTGTGAGACACCATTGGGGTCATTGAGCATAGTGCTTAGGTCCTCCAGCGATCCTGTCATAAGGACTATATCGTCGGCAAATTGAAGGTGAGTGATGTACTCGCCATTGACGTTTATACCGTATACTTTCCAGTCCAGTAGCTTGAAAATGTCTTCGTGTACGTTTACCTGGGACACGTAGTCCAACTAGATAAGTCCAACTTCGACCGAGAGGTCAATTGACGGATTCAACTCGGCTGGGCAGATTTCGGAAAATTACGACACACCTTCTCGTCAGCTGTACCTCAAAACCTGAAAACGAGACTATACAACCAGTACGTGTTGCCAGTGATGACCTATGGAACTGAGACATGGTCCTTCACTGCTGGCTGTATGAGGACGCTCAAAGTCACTCAGCTCAGTGCAAGAACAGAGAAACCCCGAGCATAGCCCTTTCCATAGCTGGAAATGGCTATTCTCGGGGTTTCTCTGCGTGATAAACTCAGAAATGGGGATATCCGCAGTAGAACCAGAGTGACTGTCTTAGCTTAACGGATTAGTAAGCTGAAGTGGCGATAGGCCGGCCATATAGCCCGAATAAACGATAACCGATGGGGAAGAAAGGTTCTCGAGTGGCAGCCTCGTACCGGTAGGCGTGTGTAGGGCGACCCCCCTTCTAGATGGAGTGACGACGTGGTTAGACATGCAGGAAATCGATGGATGCAGGTGGCTCAGGACCGTGCTTTATGGCATACCTTGGTGGAGGCCTTTGTTCAGCAGTGGACTTGTGAAGGGCTGTAATGATGATGAAAAGAACAGAGAATTTTTTATTAAGACGCATGGTTATCTAGCATGCAAAGTTTAAGGCACATTTGTATTTTATCAAAATCGTTAAACAGTGTTTTATATATATATATATGAACAAACAAGGCAACATTCCACATGATGGTTATGGAGTACCAATAGACTTTACAGTGTTTTAGGTAGAATTTATAGATATTATATTTATACAGGTATCGTCCTCCATACATGTCAGACGCTATATACCACCAGCAACGAGAGCAGCGTCATCGCTTATCTCGTATTGCTATCGACATTTAAATACTATTTATGATGTAAATGACTAGTTCTCACTTATTTATGATGTAATAGGGTAAGGAATTTCCTTATGTTGCTGTCTTACTTCGTGTCTTACGTTTATAACAAATTAATATTTTTTTAATTTCAGGAGGCGGTAGTTACAGAAGCTGAAGACTGCCGTCGCTTCGCTTGGCAGAACTTATTTTACATTAGCAACTATTTCGATGACTCAATATGCATGGCACAGGCTTGGTAACTTTTAAAATACATACCTTACCATACCTTAACATATTTAAATCTCGTGCCACGATGTTCGGTCACACTAAACTCCGTAACCGCTCAATTGATTTTAATATAGATTTTAGTTTGTATACGATATTACAACAAAGGGTTATTATGATATAAGTGAATACATGGTGGTATGTGTATGAATAATATAAGATGGGGAAGAAGGAAGTAAGGAGGACTTGGGGTTGTGAAAAAAAAGTATTACATGGTTGATAATAACACCCGGGAATGAGGTGGTCGTTTCCAAGCTGTTTCTAAAATAAATTTTTAGATATTTTGTGACATTGTAAAATTTTTTTTAAAAAAGTCCCGCTGGGTTTCTTGCTGGTTCTTCCCAGGGCAGAGGTTTTTTTCGAACCAGTGGTAAAGTAAAATATTAAACTCAATATTTTACTTTAACACTGGTTCGAAAAAAAACGTCTGATATATATAAGAATTACTTGAAATCTATATTGAATAAAAAATTATTCTATTCTAATGAAAATTTTAAAATTGTACCGCTTGCCCCAACTTGAGAGATGAAATAGTTAATATCTTTTATTGCAAATTTAAGGATTCTATAAAGGAAAAAAATTCATCAGAAAGGAGAGAACAGTGGTAGAGCAACGCTGCAACGATAATATAGTTGTAGCACGAATGGACCAGCTCAACCGGGGAAGGACCACGCTCTCACAGAAAACAACCGTAAAATAGCAGCTTAATAGTGCTGTGTTTCGTATGGTAAGTGTAAAGATCCGGAGATCTTTTTTTACTGGATCGAGGCATTCCATCTTAGTCCACAGGGGTGATAACACATATGCGTTTTGATTCTTTATCGAGGATAAATGTAGATGTCTGTGGGCCACAGCATCCACATACCATCAGGTGGGCTGTGTGATCGTTTGTCATCCTTATTCTATAAAAAAACGTCTACCTGTCCAGCTAGTTACTTATAGCCAGCTATTATTATATATGTTTATGAAATTATCTTCTTCTTCACCGGCCAGTATAAGTCACCTGCCGGAAATTGATTTATGATCACGCTTGGCTCGCGGACAAATCCAGAAGTCTCATCTCTTTAATTCTGCATTTCGTCACTAGTTTGGGTAATGGCAATGGAAACAATATGGTAACGCAAATGTTCATGCTGCGTTCGCAAGGAACAAATTATTAGATAATAATTACTCGCCTGAATTTATTGACGGCTTTTGACGACTTGTTAGCGCAGTTGCCAAACGTTTGGTTGCGGTTTAGCCTTTGGTTGTAGCTTAACATTTAGCGACTGCGCATGAGCGTGGTTCTTCCCTATTCAAGCCGACCTATTCGTGCTGCGTGCTCTAGCGTGGTCTTATCTCCCTAAATATTTGATTGCTTGCATAACTTTCATTATCGACAGGTACTTATCGTCTGACATGCAACTATACTGCCTTGGTATTTGCATCTGCTTCATGGTTACTAACAGCACTGTTAGAAAAGTAGTGCTATCGCTACTGTTCGCAGCTGGTGTAATAATTCCTGCTGTTGTAACCTATGTAAAGGATCTAGACGCTGTTCTTATAGTTTCGCCTGAGTGAGTAAAAACTTCTTATATTAAATGGATAAAATTCTTTATTTTTTTATTTATTATAATATATGGATAACATTCTCGAACGATAAAAAAATATTTGAATTCTTGATGGGTTTCTGGTGGCTACAAAACACGTACGGTTAATATCGAAGAGTCGAAGAAGGAAATCCTAAGAATTTAATTACCTACAGTAAAAATACGATAATAGAAAAAGTTTTTATGATTTTTAAATAACTCGATACAAGGTTTTGTGTTATATTTCGATTCTTTTTCAAAAGCTTATGGGAAGGATCTCGTAGAGAAGATTTACCTTAATCGCCACGCTATTGTAGTAACAGACCTCTAGCACTTTTGACGTTATTCTCCATCATCTGACTGGATATTTAACCTCTGGAATATCCTCCTCATTTATTAGAATATTTGAGTTCTTTGTTGGCTTTTTCCAAAATCTTCACTTTTTAAAATCACGAAACTAAATTGGATGATAGGTTAACTGTCTACCATACTGCTGACATATAAATTTACAATTCTAAAAGATGCAGATGCTTTTTGTATAATCCTGACTAAATTGGTTTTCAGAACATGTGTCAACTACTTTATCAAGAACCCAACATTCAACTATGTCTATAAACGTGGACACACCAACTTGGCAGGTTTCATTATTGGCTTAAGCATGGGATATATTACTTATCACTTATTACGTATGGAAGTTAATTTGGAGAAGTATAAGGTAGCGTGTCCTTTATATATTTTAATAAAACTTAACACAAAATTATCTGTTTTTTGGTATTGTGATTATTGTAAGTTCGAGTTTTGAAAACTTATTAATTTCTTATTTATTTAGCATTTGATTCCTTAAAAATTGATTTCGGAGACACATTTTTCGAGCCCAGTTAGATGATGGACGCAAATTCTTTTCTTGCGCGTGATCTCGAAAATTGAGTTGTTGAGACTTTCGTAAACTTATATATATTGAACAAATAAAAGTGTAAATTGTGGCTTGTACTATTTAAACATTATTCTTTTTTGACAAATTACCAAGATACGCGAATAACATTAGAGCATTGTCACACATCTACTAGTCTTCGTACTTGGGAAGGAGTGGAGTCTCCTAATACAAGTATCATACTTAAAAGGAGATTCCGGCCATTAGTCATGTTACTATGTAAAAGATACTGAATAAAGATTTTTCATTTTCATTTTCATTTACTAGTAGTCATATATTCTAATATAATATATTTCTGTATTTCCAGAAACGTCTGTGGATATACCAACTATTATTACCCACCGGAATTCTAATAACATGGTTGGGAAGTGTTTTTTACCGCGACGCTCCTCGTGACTCCATCTATATCAGAGCTTTATACGCTGGCATCGTGAAGCCTGTTTTCACCTTGTTGTTTGCGTTGTTAATACTGGGAGCTATTTTCAAATGTGACAGTAAGATTGCAGTAGTTTTTTTATGTATTTTATCGGTAGAGTTAATACCACTAAAGAGTTCACGTTTTTGGAGCCACCGTATTTTCACTGTTTTTATTTCTGTTTCAAAACTTCATTTCGTAGCGATGACTGTAAAGCTTTTTTAAACATATACATTTACACATGCACGAGCACACGCACGAACTGTTGTGCGTAAAATTGTGCAAAAGGAGAGACTCGTCACTGTACGTCGTCGCTCCTGAAGACTATGATGGAATGCCTCTACCAGTATCTGAAAAGGAATGTCTTATTTCTTTTTCTCTTACACGAGACGCAGGAGAATTTCGTGTGAGTGAAACCTCCTGGGTTTAGTATGAGTTAACTACCCCCTTTGTTTTCGTGTCAGTGATAATTAATACTGCTATTTTACACTGGCACCCTGTAAGGGAATGCTGCAGCTATGATGTACAGCAAGATGAATTAAAATGTTGACAAACATCTATTTTCGTCCATAAGTCATTCTTAGTGTTTACAGAGTACTAAACATTAACAATATTGAGGTCATACCATTTTTTTATAGGAGAGGGTGCAAACGAGCATTTGGCTCACCTGATGGTAAGTGATTACCGCCGCCTAATAACAACTGCAACACCAGAGGAATTGCATATGCGTTGCCGGCCTTTTAAAAATGAATAGGCTATTTTCTTGAAGGTTCTTAAGCAAAATTGTAAAAATAATTGAAATTGAAGTAAAAATAATTAAAAAATCTCAGGTGGTAGTTAATCACCCGTGAATCAAAATTCGGTTGACGTTTTGGTGAGCTCTTAAAATCGTATGCTTATAACTCTGTGCTGAAATAATATAATAAAAATAATTTAGAAAATTACTAACATATCATTAAATAGTCGGCTACTAAAATTGAGATCGGACCGAAAAATCGGAACGATAGTAAGGTTAAGGTACTCCCGAGGGGTTCTAATAGACGTGCGTCAATCTTGCATGATTCGTTTGTTTGAGCTGATACACTTAAAGGTATTGATGGATCATTCATTTGTTTTTGAATGTACCAGTACAACCAATCACAAACAAGTGACGGTACCTTTTTAACCCGCGATTTGTTTGAATTGTGAAAGAGCCGAAAACCAACAGAATCCAGAATGATCTGAATATACAGGCGAATCGAATAAACAATGCAGACTGCGGAGTATCAGGAGTATTTATTATTTAAGGGTTTTTTTATTATAATATTGTTACCTAAATTAATAAAAAAGTATCATTTAGTAGAGTTCACTAAAAATAAAATTTCAAAAGATTTCACCTTAATATGTGTAAGATAGGTAAAAGTTTAATTTTGTAGCAAATTAATGTTACAATCCTTATTTTTAGACATGTAAAGTAAGATGAAACAGTGTATTGTTAGGAATGAATTTTAGGAATAAACAAATTTATCAACCAAAATCAAATCAATTGAATGATTTGAGGTTTGTGTTTATGCCATTATGTGTCGATTGTACTTACCACGTTGAAAGTCAATAAGTTTCGATAACATGACTTTATTACCTATAGCATATAGTAGATGGCGCTATTACAAATTTCAAATAAAAAATTTCGGTTCCCAATGGATCTCACAGACTCACAGAGTACTGGAGCCCGAAATGATCCATTTGAATAATCTATCCGAATGTACCAGTACACGTGACGAAATGTACTATAATGATTCGGTCACTAGAAATTAATGATTGACTGAATGTCTAGGTTCTAAAATTGGTACCATATTCCGAGGTATTTAGAAAAAACTGCGTTTACGAGCGATTTACAAGTTCTGTTTTATTGCAAGATCTCTCACTGAATTTATAATATAACTTTCCGTTTTATATCGTCAAAGATCTAAACACTTGAATGATATGAATATATTTTAAAATATAATTAGTCAATTTTGCGACAGTAGTTGGTGTGAACCAAAGCTTTGTACATTTTGGGTCTCGTGCACGTTAATATCATGTTTTTTGAAATAATGATTTTTTGGTTATTTTTCTACTGTGTGTGTAATTCTTTGCATTAAAGTATTTCTTGAATCACACGTATCATAATCGAAAACACTATACTTTTGTATGTCTTTCTGAATACATCAAGGTAAAAAACATTAGGTGTCATCTATTTCAGCCGGTTCCTTATTCCGAAGTATAATCGCGGAATAGCGATTTCAGATACTTGATATCTTTTTTTAATGTTTAAGGTTGTTTTTATAATGAGGCCTTGGGTTTGGCAAATCAAAAAGAAAATTAATACTTAAATATATTTTCGAAGTATACTTTTGCGTTTCATTCTCTAATTAAATGCATGTCAAATGAGATCTATTTAGGTATTTTATTAATTCACTGTATGGGAAAGCTAGAAGGAAAATTTAGGTTCATACACAATTTGATGTAATTTTTAGCAAGTACTGTATTATATTTAAGATAATTTTGCTAAAAATATTTATGTATACATAAATTATTAAAAAATCTTGTATTTTTAATAGTCGAAATTAGGAAACGAGATTTATGGTATGAAAGGCTATTCAAAATTGTATTTTGAAAACAAAATATTATTTTCAAAATACAATTTTTATTATATATTTATTTTTTATTTATGTATTTTTCATATATATTCAAGTGTATATATATACAGGGTGTTAGTGTAAACACCGTTTTCCTTGAAACCAGTGGTTTGGTTTCAGTTATAGAACGTAAATTCAATGATTTTTTTAAAAAAAAACCCTTCTTTCAATTGTTTTTGTCCGACATCGTCCGCTCTAGCTACCTACACAACATTCAACATAAAAGCACAGTAGGTACACATAACCTGTGATGTAACTTTTTCTTCATGCTTTCATCCTACCTTAGGACAGGCAAAAATTGAGGAATTAAGGAAAAATTGAGATTTTACTAAAAAAAATGTTATTTTTCATTGCATTTACGTTCTATAAGTGAAACCAAACCACTGGTTTCTAGGACAACGTTGTTTACACTAACAACCTGTATATACACTTGAAATAAAAAAATGAAATAATTTTTACTTAAACCCTCTTATCTTATTATTATACGACGAACGCAGAGTTCTATCATGCGTCGAGGAAATATACTGTTATTTGTCCTTGAGATAAGTAGGGGTGGATGGATCATTTAAGATAGAGAAGACAACAAACAATATTCTAGAGTCACGCCCCTGTTTAGTAGTCAGCTGTTTAAGGCGAGAGCGACAGTAAGAGATACGATCATATTTACGAAGACTGAAAATTTATCTGATGCAATTGTTGAGAAGGCGCTATATTTTCTTAAGTATAGGTTGTGGTTTCAAATGCCAACATAGTTAAGTAATTTCCTAGTATAATGAGTCAAGTGATGTAACCATTTTATTATGTGACCATTTTATTATTAAATGAGACAAAAAACCCCGAAAACAACCAAAAGTAATATGATATTAATACAATTACAATCATATTTCATAATATTTTAGTGTAAACCGTGGAGTTTGATGTATAACTTACATGAATATATCTGGTATTTAAACCATTTTAATATTGAGTCCCGCCGGCGTATACCCATTTATGTACATAAAATGTCATTTAAATAAAATCAGCAAAATTATTTTATACCAAAGGAAGAGCTTCTATTATATTGTATTGTATATTTATTTAAAAAAAAAAATATATTTCTAATTAGTTTTACTTCATTAAAATATAAATGATTTGCCTCCAAATCGCTCTCCTATAAAATTAATATAATGTCAGTTGACTTCATTATACTTAGGAGGTATCGTCATACTCACGGAGATGATTATTCATATTTTTTAAATTAGAATAATTTTGGTGAAATGATAATGAGCACCATGTAATATTCTTCCTACCTTTTTCCTTTGCATTTCTAAACTCGCTATTAGGAACCAAATACATGGGAGAAATAAGGATTTTAACATCGGAATAAGGTGCCCTGACGTCTATTCATATTTAGTTAATTTAGAATACAAATTAAGAATGAATAGGCAAACCTATTTTCAATTTCAAGAGTAGAAACAATTGTGGTTCTGGTAAAAATAGTGATAAAAAAGTGATAATAAAAGTGTACGATACTGGTAAAAAGTGTACGATAAATTCTTAAATATTAATCTTCTCTCAAGTATTACTAAAAATACCGCGAAAGTAGGTACCTCTACCTTAGTCAAAGGCTAAGCACGGACTGAAAATTCGAAAAATTGTTAGTTGAAATCAATTCTACTACAGATATGAACCGATCCTAACCCAAGCATTTTCAAGTTTACTTGAAGTGGTTAAGAGGAGTATTAATAATGTTATTAGCGTTAAAATCTACCATTTGACAAAGTTTACTTACATATAATTGAAATGACATTAACGGCTTTACTTACAATCCTTAATTATCGCTTACTAGTATTAAATAATAATTCCCTATGTACTCTTTCTATTGTCATTGAGTGAAAAGTCAGGGAAAGAGAGAGCAACTGTAGGATATTCTACAACTGACGTCGATTTTTATGAGTCACGTCGATAATAATTTTTGTTAATTGATTATCGCTTTTACTTGGTGTAATATTTAATTAAATTGATATAATTCATCTAATAAATTATAATTTTAGCATGTGGCGGTGTAACCACATTCTATATTATCTAATATGTAAAATAATTTTATTTGTTAACAATTTTCTCTAAAAAACAATGAAAAACTTTTCAATAATTTTTTTTTTTTTTTTTTTTTTTTTTTTTTTTTTTTTTCTTTTTTTCTTGTGGTGTGGTTTAAAATTTAAAAAAAAAAAAAATCTTAAACATTATATTTTCAGAAACATATCGAAGTATATTAGAATGGCGCAGATGGGTCACACCAGCCCGGCTGTCGTACAGCGCGTATGTTCTACACGTATTAGTCATCCGTACATACGTCGGCACTTTCGAAACACAGACGAAAACGCTGTTCATTCACATTGTAAGAAAATAAAAAATAATTTATATTTTATATAATTTTGCTTCGTTACAGCTTCATAGGAGATTCTACTTAATACGCCCGTTATCGTTGCTTTCTGTCAAAGTGAAGTGACAAACGATTTCACAGTCCACCTGATGGTAAGTGGCTATTGAAGTCCATAGAAACTAGCAGCCAACTGCAAGAAAAGAAGGCTACTTATGCGTTTTCACCTCGAAGGACTAAGGTGGAATGGCACACAGTTTTTAATTATAGTGGCTCTGGATAGTCTACAGAGAAAAATTCAGCAGCAGTCAGTAGTAGTTAAATAGCAGTGCAAGTACTGTTAGAATAGCTAAGTGGTACATATCGTGACTGAATCACAGACTTGGACGGACAGAAAAGGTACCTAAAAGTTCTAACATCCGTAAAGGTTAAGTTTACTTAGCACCTGGCTCATAATTTTTTTTACAGGATAGGATGACAAACGAGCATACAGTCCACCCGATGGTAAGCTTTTTTTTTGGTAAGCTGTAAGTGTAAGTAGGATGGTAAGCTTTTTAGTTGCTGCGGCCCATAGACATCTACATCTATCCTCGATTACAAATCAAAATGCAGATGCGTTGTCACCCGTGAAGACTAAGATGGAATGCCTCGTCGCCGGTAAAAAGGGTCTCCGGTTTTCTACACTCACCATACGAAACACAGCAGCACTAAGCCACTATTTTACGCTGGTCTTCTGTGAGAGCGTGGTCTTTCCCTGGTCGAGCCGACCCATTCGTGCTACTACTATACTACTAATACATTTGCAGCATGGCTCTACCACGTATAAAATTTGCTGTACATCATCATCATCATCATTACAACCCATCACAAGTCCAGTGCTGAACAAAGGCCTCCCCCAAGAAATGCCACAAAATGTGATCCTGTCGCACTGGTATTTGCCCACCCATTTTTCTTTCTAGGTCTTGCATAAAGTATAACTTCGAGCGTAGTATTCTCAACAACTACTATCACTACTACTCGACGTGACATGAACGTTACAGTAAAGAACATTGACTATTTGGCTGTTGAAAAACCCAAGACCCACGACGAAGAAGCCAGATACTTTATACGTGGTAGAGGTGGCTGTAGCTATATTCGTAGTATAGTTGTAGCACGCTTGAGGCTCGACCGTGGAAGGACCACGCTCTCGGAGAATACCAGCTTAAAATATCAGCTTAATATTGCTGTGTTTCGTATGGTGAGTGTAGAGATCCGGAGACACGTTTTTAGTGGAAATGAGGCACTCCATCTTAGTCCTCATGGAGGGCAACGCATCTGCGGTTTGATTCTTAATCGATGATAAATGTGGATGTCTATGGATCACATCATTCACTTACTATCAGGTGTACCCTTTATCATCCTCCTGATTGTCGTTAGATGCGACAGAGGGAAAAAGTCAGAAGACGGGCAGCAATGCAGCGTAGTCCAGATATCATTTTATTAATCAAAAAGCATGTGTGCTATGATTCTGCGTGCAACTGCAGCAAACATGCTGCCTATGAGTAGCTACCAGTTTTATACGTGGTAGAGCCGTGCTGCAGTTATATTAGTAGTATAGTTGTAGCACGAATGGGTCGGCTCGACCGGGGAAGGACCACGCTCTCACGGAATACCATCATCGTATAGTAGCATAACACTGCTGTGTTTCGTATGGTGAGTATAGAGAACCGGAGACCCTTTTTACTGGAAACGCGGCATTCCATCTAAGTCCTCACGGGTGACAAAACATCTGCATTTTGATTCGTAATCGAGGATAGACGCTACAGCAACCACTTACCATTAGTTGGACTGTGTGCTCGTTTGTCACTCTATCCTATAAAAAAGGAGTAACGATAAATAAAACTATATTTACGGATTTTATCGCGTTTAATTACTTTTACTTATTTTTAATTCCCTACGTTTGTCGGAGAGTAACGAGTCAAAAAACGGCCTTCATTCTCAAAACGAGATACAATATATAGAGTGAGACTGTGTACAAAATGCGAGACGCCCGGTACTGCGTTTGCCAATCCACCTTCCAAATAAACAGACGGTGTACTGCTTACGCTTTACAGGCTGATGAAGATTCTCTTATTTTAATGTTTATTACTTCTTGCTTCTCAGATTTATACAAGCATATCTCTGGTGATGGTGAGCTTCCTTCTTGCAACACCGTTGTGGTTACTAGTGGAAGCACCAGCGAATGAACTAGTCAAAATGACCTTTTCATTACTAATTGGTGCTCACGAGACGAAGAAGACTGATTCAGATACAAGGCGGAAAAGCAAAGTCGCTAATTAATGTAGCCGATTTGAAACTGTAGGTAATATTTTAGATGCATTTGTCTTTGTAAGGTGTCGAAATCGTGTAAAATACATAATTCTTATTACTTCTTTGTTTATGTTCTATATTTAAGGCTGAATCTAATTGTTTGGTTAACTGGGCTTATAATTTTATTTTATTAACTAGTGTTCTTTTAAATATAAATTAGATTTCGTCGTATACAATTAAGTGCAGCCGATAACGGTTTATAAAACTTACACCGTCTCAGTACAAAAAGTCTCGGGTTTAAGCAAATGAAATATACAAAGAAGATTCCTTCTCAAAAAAGAAGTCCCTCTGCCGCGGTGCCACAGTATTTGCGAAATTTGACATTTTCTGTCAGATTTCATACTTCAAATTTTCATCATTATTACAGCCCTTCACAAGACCACTGCTGAAAAGTTTACTTCGTAATTTAGTTTGCATAAAATTCCGCGGGATTTACGTGAATCAAATTCTAGTTTAAATCTGAGATAACCTATAAAATACGAGTGGCACAATAGTGGCTGACGTATTTAGTGTAACTATTTAGGTGACATTGATATTGTGATATTCCTTAGTCCACTTATAAGGGTAACAAAGTCTACCTTAGTCAAATTTTTTAGGAAAATTAAAGCAGAATGTTAAATCATTTTATTCTTTTTTTATTTGAAGTTGGCTTTTTAATTTTGTTGAAACTTATTTTTGTTATAAAGTGGACTGTGTATTCATTGTGTTCGATTTTTTTTCGTTAAAGATATTGCAAAAAGAAATATTAAAGTGAACCTTTCTATATTGAGCCTGGACTTACAAAGAATTACCCATGCATTTTGAATAAAGTACACATAATTTAAATATTATAGACAAACCTAGCCTTTACTCTTAAGTCGTTTGATTTAATTGACGAAGTTAACAGAACTCATAGTTATTTTAAATACTATTTTAACTTATAGCTGAACCACCTGCACTTATTTTAAGCCATAAAAAATAATTCAATACACTTAATCAATAAATTGTTTACCCAATCACAATCGGCCGCACCTAGTTGTAGTCGGCTTATTGCTAATAGCCGGGTAAATAAAATAAAACTACTAGTCCGGTCACCGGATCATTATTTACTTTATACCAACTTTATATATTATATAAATTTAAATTACCAGGTATGGAAATATATTTATTAATATTGTCTAGGGCTAATAATTTATAACGTTACCCAAAAAGCGTATTGTAAATAATATAAACTGTAATTAAAGTCGTTTATTTTTTCATATTTGTATTTTTTTATTATACACCCTTACCTTGAAAACACCCAAATTATAAGTGGATGGAAAAAAATACAAAGCTGGCAAATTATTCCACTTCTTTGCAGTACGTATTATGAACGACGAAGCAAACCGTTTATTATTATGATTTCTATGGTTTACTTAGAATGTGTGGTATGTCGACAGCAAAGGTGTGGAGACTAGCCGGGCGTCTGATGGCCCGATAAAAAAATGGATATCTTAGGATTCATGGTTGGGCCACTGCCGTCTGACCTGGTATTATATATGACAAATACAAGTTAAAAAAACATAAATTAGTTTCTCTCACACAAATTTTAACAGCCTAAGGGCCTCCCGGAAAGAATTTGTTTTGAAAAATTGCTACATAATATTATTTTATTCGCGGAGTATTTTCAGAAAGTTTCAAGTTAATTGTATATATATATATACGTATAAATTATTAAAGGCAACTTGTTGAACAGTAAGACGATAGACACATACATGTATAATATTTTTTATAGGATAGGGTGACCAAACGAGCACACACTCCTCCTGATGTTAAGTGGATGCAGTGGCCCATAGACATCTACATCTATCCTCGATTACGAATCAAAATGCAGATGCGTGAGGACTTAGATGGAATGCCTCGTTTCCAGTAAAAAGGGTCTTCGGTTCTCTACACTCACCGTACAAAACACAGCAGCATGGTATTCTGTGAGAGCGTGGTCCTTCCCCGGTCGAGCAGACCCACTCGTGCTACAACTATAGTACAAATATAACTACAGCATGGCTCTACCACGTATAAAATATAATATAATGTATTTACGAGAGGTGTTCAATGTATTCTCGGTATTAAGGTGATTTGCTAATAATGTGGTTAATTAAAAAAATCTATATCTTACGACACTACCTAAGGTTATAAATGAGAAATTTCGTCTTGATAACTTCATTAAATCTTATGTAACCTTTAGTTATAGACGACGAACATCCATAAAGAATGGCGGCCGTTTGCCAAGAATCTGCTCCTTCAATGTCAACCATACAGAATTTGGTTAAGAGAATTCAAAAGAGGCAGGGAAAATATCAAAGATGACCCACGCTGGTCAGGCCAATCACAGCGGCTACAGAAGAAAATGTGAAAACTATTGAAAAACTTGTATTAGAATATGCACGATTAAAGTGTTATTAAAAGATAATCTCAATCAGTAGGTTTTGAAAATAGTAAAGCATTCCGAAAAGTTACCACAAAAACACTTTTTATTAGAAGTATACAAGAATATTGTAGCACAGTGTTGAGCGCATACAAAACAGATTTTTATGGTATCTTGACTTTTCAACACGAAAGGCATATAACAAAAACAGTAAACAGATTAAAGACATTTAAAATGGTCTCACTGTCTAAACGCCGAGATATTGTGGATTTGCAACTTTTATGTAAAATATTCAGAAATAAGTTATATTGCCCTTTATTACAAAGTAAATTCAATTTTCGTATCCCAAGTAGATATATTCGCTAGTTCATTACTCCTCTCGCCGCCTCTTCGTAGAACTGTACTATTTTTTTTATAGGAGAGGGGCAAACGAGCATACGGCTCACCTGATGGTAAGTGATTACCGCAGCCTTTGAACAGCTGCAACACCAGGGGAATGCAGATGCGTTGCCAGCCTTTTAAAAAGGAATAGGCTCCTTTCTTGAAGGTCCCTAAGTCGTATCGGTCCGGAAAAATCTCTGGTGGTAGTTGATTCCACAAGGAAGTTGTGCGAGGAAGAAAACTTCTTTTAAATCGCTTAGTGGTGGACCGCCAGTCATCCAGATGGTATCGAGAGTTTTGTCGCGATGTGCGATGGTGAAACTGTGCGGCTTGAATTAGTCCGAACAATTCCACAGAGCACTCCCCGTAGTAGAAACGATAAAATACGTAATGAGATGCAACATCTCTTCGCAATGCCAGTGAGTCAAACCGATAGGAAAGAGTTTGGTCGCCAACGCTTCGAACTGCTCTGCGCTGGAAGCGATCAAATGGAAGGAGCTGGCACTGGGAAGCCAAAAGGTTAAATTGCAGGCCGTGAGCTGGCATGAAATACTGTCCCGCTCTGCTGAGCACACCAAGCTTTTTAGAGGCCAATTTGGCCTTCTCTTCAAAGTGACCACGAAACTGCACGTCACTTGATATATCGACGCCCAGTATTCCGATACTGGCTGAGCCAATAAGGGGAGTTTCTTGTAACTGAGGAGATACGACAAAGGGGTTCTTTTTAGCGGTAAACGCACAAACTTGTGTCTTCTGGGGATTAAAATGAACTAGAATTAGTCACCTCAAGTCCGAGATTTAGTTCAATAAAGTCTCGGCTTGAGACAAAATTTTGTCCCGATACTGGGCGACGTTTTCCCGAGAAATATTGGCACGGCCGGTGTATAAAGCATCACCAGTGCTGTCGTCTGCATAGCAATGAATGCTACCGATTTGCAACATGTCATTGATATGCAGAAGAAACACGTTGGTCGTCTACTACAACCTTGATGCTCCGATCAGCAAGAAAACTGGTGATCCCATTGCAAAATTTCTCGGGAATTTCTTCGCCCATTTATGCGTTAGGTAACCTAGAAAATCAACAGCCGAGTGAACGCGACGGTAATGATACTGGCGGTCACTAATCAGCTGGTGATCCTCAAGGTACCGCATGAGCTGTTAATAATAGATTCTATTATTTTAGAGAACAAGGAGGTGAGGACAATAGGCCTATAGTTGTACGGATCAGACCGATAAACCTTTTTAGGGATCGGGTACATAAAGGCTATCTTCCATGATTTCGGGACTACGCCGAGGGAGTAGGATCACCGCAAAAGACAACCCATAGAATGCATCATCCGAAATCATCGGTAATGAGGCTGTACTTACCGCGAAAATATGGTGAACGTGGCTTTTTAAGCGCCTCCACCATTCATAATCGCGAAGTGTGCAGCCATTGCAGGATGCATGCAGGATGATCCATTCTATAGTGACGTCATTTCTTGTGAAATGACGTCACTATAGAAATTGGTTGGTTCTAGTAAGTCTAGCCAGAGCATGGCTAGACTTACTAGCAACCAAAGCTGGTGATTTTGGCTGCATGAATTATGAGATTGAAAGAAAAAAGGCAGAGCTTAAACGTCTAAATAAGAGAGTAAAAGAATTAGTTGAAAGGAAAAAGTAAGAAAGAACGGATAATAATGATAGAAGAATATCGGATAACTTCCAGGCAAATATTAAAAGGTTCTAGAAATTCGTAAGAACTACCAGGGGATATTCAAAACAGCCTAGATTGAATGCGTTACGAGACGAGAAAGGCTGTATTCTGAATAATGAAGTGTTGAGTCTAAAGAGATGGAAGGAATATTTTGAAAGAGTATTTATGAGTGTGGAGACGTGTGAACTAAATATAAGAAAAATTCCAAAAGAAGATGAAAGAGATATGGGGATAAGTATAGATGAAATAATGAAAGCAATGAAAAGCATGAAAGTAGGTAAGGCAGCTGGATATGATAAAGTTTCACTCGAAATGCTAAGGGCTGGAGAGCAAGTGGTGGCAGGCCTGCTGTACACCTTGTTTAATTTATGTTGGGAACTGAAGCCTTTACCGGAAGACTGGTGCAAAGCCGTGATAGTCCCAATATATAAGTGAAAAGGGTCGCACCAGGACTGCAAAAACTATCGTGGTATCAGCCTTCTTAGCATTGTGGGAAAACCGTATGCTAAG